CAAGGGGGGTTGACGAACCAAGGGAGGTTGACCAGCCAAGGGAGGTTGACGAGCCAAGGGAGGTTGACGAGCCAAGGGGGGTTGACGAGCCAAGGGGGGTTGACGAGCCAAGGGAGGTTGACGAGCCAAGGGGGGTTGACGAGCCAAGGGAGGTTGACGAGCCAAGGGGGAGTGATGCGCCAAGGGGGAGTGATGCGCCAAGGGGGGGTCATAAGCCGCCCAGTATGAACGACTGCTACAAGAGTCACGGCTCCCTGGTTGCTTGCGCAACTGCTTGAGATAGTTGCGCTGCTTAAGATAGGTAGCCGCGCTGCTTAAGATAGGTAGCCGCGCTGCTTAAGATAGGTAGCCGCGCTGCTTAAGATAGGTAGCCGCGCTGCTTAAGATAGGTAGCCGCGCTGCTTAAGATATGTAGCCGCGCTGCTTAAGATAGGTAGCTGCGCTGCTTAAGATAGGTAGCCGCGCTGCTTAAGATAGGTAGCCGCGCTGCTTAAGATAGGTAGCCGCGCTGCTTAAGATAGGTAGCCGCGCTGCTTAAGATAGGTAGCCGCGCTGCTTAAGATAGGTAGCCGCGCTGCTTAAGATAGGTAGCCGCGCTGCTTAAGATAGGTAGCCGCGCTGCTTAAGATAGGTAGCTGCACTCATATAGGTAGTAATAGCAGTCACGCACAGGTAACGCAGGTTTGTGAGCCTGCTAATGGATTCGGGAATCGCGCCCGTGAAGCTGTTGTAGCTAAGATCTCTAATGACGGCACAGAGGAGGAAGGGTACACACGAGGAAAGAGTGTTATACCTTATACTGTATGTTGGACGCACATGTGAGTTAACCTTGGTGAGGAACATATGAACACTGTTGACGCGGGAAAATTATTACAATTGTAACCATGATACATTTCATAACTCTCCCACATGTTTTCCCTCCCTTACTACATACCTACCACCACTAGGCACAGCACATGACCTTCAAGACTCAGCCACTGGCCCATACAGTGCCGAGGCCATGACTGACCATCTCTCGGCTCCTCTGAGACAGATCCGAGCAGATTGGCATTTTGCTCACAAAAACATGAATTGGTCATCTTATCTTGCTCAATAAAATGCGCTGATCTGGCATAGAATGCTAAGTTACTGTGGAGTGGACGCTGAAAATGGTCAGCGCCCGGCATCTAGACGCCGCGGCAGACTGCAATGTCCATGGATAGTGCACTACATGGATAGTGCACTACATGGATAGTGCACTACATGGATAGTGCACTACATGGACAGTGCACTACATGGATAGTGCACTACATGGATAGTGCACTACATGGATAGTGCACTACATGGATAGTGCACTACATGGATAGTGCACTACATGGATAGTGCACTACATGGATAGTGCACTACATGGACAGTGCACTACATGGACAGTGCACTACATGGATAGTGCACTACATGGATAGTGCACTACATGGATAGCGCACTACATGGATAGTGCACTACATGGATAGTGCACTACATGGATAGTGCACTACATGGATAGTGCACTACATGGATAGTGCAGTACATGAATAGTGCACTACATGGATAGTGCACTACATGGATAGTGCACTACATGGATAGTGCACTACATGGATAGTGCACTACATGGATAGTGCACTACATGGATAGTGCACTACATGGATAGTGCACTACATGGATAGTGCACTACATGGATAGTGCACTACATGGATAGTGCACTACATGGATAGTGCACTACATGGATAGTGCACTACATGGATAGTGCACTACATGGATAGTGCACTACATGGATAGTGCACTACATGGATAGCGCACTACATGGATAGTGCACTACACGAATAGTGCACTACATGGATAGTGCACTACATGGATAGTGCACTACATGGATAGTGCAGTACATGAATAGTGCACTACATGGATAGTGCACTACATGGATAGTGCACTACATGGATAGTGCACTACATGGATAGTGCACTACATGGATAGTGCACTACATGGATAGTGCACTACATGGATAGTGCACTACATGGATAGTGCACTACATGGATAGTGCACTACATGGATAGTGCACTACATGGATAGTGCATTACATGAGGCCCCAACTGTCATAGTGTTGTGAGCCCAATTTAATTCATTGTGAATGCCATGCAAAATAGGCTTGGTTTCCAGCATTGGACTGTCTAGTATGGATGTGGCTTGTGCAGATTGCATACGAATAAAAAAGGATAAGTGCTCACATGTAAAAGAGAAGCGATTAAGCGCCTACCTTGTAAGGCGCAGGCCTTGCCTGGTCTAGCAATGCAATGTCACAATACTCGCACAATGTCAGGGAGGTCACGTCCATCCTGGGTTCGCGCTGGCCTCGCCTGGACTAGCTTGCCAGGCGCAAACCTCGCCGCCTGGCCTAGCAATGCAATGTCATAATCCTCAAAAGTTTTGTCAGGGTGGCCAAGTCCGAACAGGGTTGCAATAATCACGATACACACAGGCCTCGCCTGGCCTAGCTTGCCAGAGCACTGCGATACTCACAAGTATGTCAGGGTGGTGAAGTCCGCAATGAAAGTGGGAATAGCCCCGGTCACACCACTCAAGTAGAGATCGCTGATGGAATGTCAGAAGAATTCCACATTGGGATGGAAATCCAGGGAAGAAGATTGGGAGGGCATCAATGAGGGAGGTTATGATGGAGAATATTGACTTCAGCTGGCTCATCCAATATGCTTGGAAACGTGGTTCAAAACATACATGCCATGCCATCCTTGAGCCAGCCAGCCATTCATGCCGTGGATTGTGCGGCATGCGACTCCACGCGAGCATTCTACGGGTCGTAAGTTGTACCCGACTCATCTTCGCTTGACTCAGTCCAGTTTCGAGCCAAGTCGAGTAAAACTCGAGACTAGCTTTATTCATTAGAAAATGACTCGTTACTCGGCTCGGCCAGAGGCTTTGGTTTTATTCTCAGGGCGAATGATTTTACTCTACTCTACTCGTGGGACTCTGCCACTCCCCCCCCCCCTCTCCTCCCATCCCCCCTCCAAAGCCAGTGGCCCCTGCATCTCAAACATGTCCTAAACCCCAAACAGCAACCGGTCCAAGTCAGATTGGAGAGCAGGCTTGCCAATCCGAAGTTTAACCACTACAGGTCAATCCTTTTTAGGTCTGGCTTCACAAGGCCTGTCAACGTGAGAACTTATCTCCTCGAGACGAGAGTGATAATCGCCTCGATTCGGCCAAGCCCTTGTCACTCGCCCCTCCTCCCATGCAAGCCCTTAACCCTCTCCCAGAATGAAAGGCGAGCTCCTTCTCTCCTTATTGCTTGTGTCGTGTCTGATGCAGCTCGGGGCCGAACCAACATATCTTCGACGCTCTGATGCAGCTCGGGGCCGAACCAACATATCTTGGACGCTCTGATGCAGCTCGGGGCCGAACCAACATATCTTCGACGCTCTGAATCTCTGATGCAGCTCGGGGCCGAACCAACATATCTTCGACGCTCTGATGCACGAAAACAATATTCGTTCTGAAACTAAAAACGGGCAGTCAGGGAGGGACTCGACTCGGTGGGTAGTCGGGGTGTGTGTGTGTCTAGCTGTGGTGGCTCATATGTCAACTGAATGCGCCGTTCCGCTCACAACAAACGAAGGCTTCTGAGGCGGCTGAAGGAGTCTGGGATAGTGCTCCACATATTGTTGTCACAAAGGTTCCTGACAAGAAAGAAACAAATGAGTTGGAGGGTACGGAAAAAGTACTTGCTTGATAAGCTGGGGGGGAAACACTGTGTGTGCTGTGCATTTATTTTAAAAGTCAGAATAAATGAAACATGGATGGACACTGCGAGTATTAATTTTATGCGCCATGATGAATGTATCCCAGCTTTAACAGAGCACAAAAATAACTCATGAGAACAGCAATATTTTCTCTAATGAGTAAACCTCTACCGATTTGCTACTAGAGGGCTAACGTGTATTCACACATGGCATCGATAAAAATCCCAACCACAGCGTCGCATGAATTTCGAAATGTGCCGCTGGACCAAACTAGAGCTCATGTCACGAATGAGAGAGAGTGATCTCACAGCACACTTGATAGACCACGAATGAGTAAAAGAACTTAGAAGTGTGCAATGTAGTTTTACGCTAGTGCAGCAGAAACGCTTACGTAGAAAGTGCGGTGGCATTCTTTCCCACCTTAGTGTTTGAATGGAGTTGATTAGGAAAGAGCAGCAATTACGTTACCTGTTTGAAAAGAAAAGCGGAAAGGTAGAAGAGCGAACTGACAAAATTGTCAAGCTGGTCAAGTTGCCAATGGCTGAAGGAAACGGGCCCAGTAACTTGACTGAGTTTAGCTTTCTACATAGGGGGACAATGGCACGATATACAGTAGACATGAGCATAATCTCGACCGCCTGTTCGGTTCGACTCGAACATGTTCGAGTTCGCACGCCTTTTTTTACCGCGCCACCTCGAACTCGAACAGGTTCTAGTTTGAATTACACTTACGCGAACATCAAAGTGTGCGCGATAAAAACCAGCGCGACATTGGCCACGCTGGTTTCAGATTTAGGGTTGCGTAGATCTGAGATTGAGCACATTTCGAGTTCAATCTCTTGCCTTAAGTTAAGACATGGCTTAGGCACCTAGTTTACACAAACAACAGCCAAAAGCGCGGACATTGCAGGGTACTTAGGCATTATTGTGGTTAAACGCCTGTATTTTCCAGATCTATAATAGTGTAAACGCGGGGTACCGTCCGTTAGTGGTGGTCCGCTGAGACTTTTCACCCGTGGCGACAAGGCAGTCGCCCACGGACGTTACCCCACCGTCATTTCCAGAGAATAACCTCGTATAGAAACTAGATATAAAGGGTATGGAAGGGACTGGTGCTGCCGGTTCAGGGTGGGGAAATGACGGACAGCCAAACCGTCAAAATTGGGCGTGGGTGGCGACGCCCAACTGGGCAATCCCCGAGAGGTGCCCGGTCCCGGGTCGCTCTTCCACAGCATGCCCACCTCCGAACATACATTCCACCTTAGTGGGAGGGTGGTGGCCACGGGGGGAGTGGTTGAGAAGGAGGCGGATGACGAGGAGGACGAGAAGGAGGGGTGGTCAGAGGAGGAGGAGGAGGAGGGGGAGGATGAGGGGTCAGAGGAGGAGGAGGAGGAGGAGGAGGAGGAGGAGGAGGAGGAGGAGGAGGAGGAGGAGGAGGAGGAGGAGGAGGAGGAGGAGGAGGAGGAGGAGGAGGAGGAGGAGGAGGAGGAGGAAGAGGAGGAGGAGGAGGAGGAGGAGGAGGAGGAGGAGGAGGAGGAGGAGGAGGAGGAGGAGGAGGAGGAGGAGGAGGAGGAGGAGGAGGAGGAGGAGGAGGAGGAGGAGGAGGCGGGGGAGGAGGTTGAGGCGGGAGATGGTGGGGGAAGGGTATGACGGAGGAAGGGGCTGGCTGGAAAATGGGTTAAGGTGCAGAGAAGCGCCCCTCTCTCTCCGGGTAGCGGAAGCGAGAGTGGCTCTCAGTATTCTCCTGGAGAAGAGGAAGGTGGGGCGGAGGCAGACGAGGAAGAGGAGGAGGTGCAGGAGGAGGCTTCAAAGGGCGTAGTGGGGAGAGGAAAGGGCAAGGGCAGGGTTAACGCGGGTTGTGCACAAGCAGCTAGGAATAAAAATCGTAAGGAAAAGGGAAAGCGCAAGAGGGGAAAGGGGGTGTCGGATTGTGGGGATGAGTCGCGTCCTCCGCCCAAGAAAACACCTGCTCCAAGACCCCCCGGCTGGGCGGTACAGATGTGGGGGCCTCTCTTGGAGGGGGAACGGAGGAAATGCAAGATGTGCGACGAAGTAGTCTCTTGGCAGCAAGGGACAACCACCCCGGGTGTGTCCCACTATCCTCCCCTTCTTCATATTCTTACACTCTCTCATTTTTCATACCTCGCTGAATCTCCCCCCCTCTCCTAGTCCCTTCCCTGCCGCACTATTGTCTTCTCTCCCATAAAGGGCACCCCTTTCCTTCATTTAACCACCGTTTGTGCATGCACTGTCCTACACTTGCTGCCATACCATTCATTTTGCTGCCGCACCATTCGTATCACTCACCACCCGCAGTTCCCAACTCTACCATCTCTGCCCTCCTTCCCTGCCCTCTCCTTCACCGCCTTCCTTTCACACCTTTGTTCCCCTGTTGCCTTTCCCCCTCTTTGAACTGCTGTCCCTTCCCCTATTTCCAACCATTCCGCAGGTATGCGCCACTACGTGGCGTGGCGCACAGCCCATCACGAGATCTGGAAGCACCGTGCTCACTACAACCCTCATCTGGAAGCACCGTTCTCACTACAACCCTCATCTGGAAGCACCGTACTCACTACAACCCTCATCTGGAAGCACCGTTCTCACTACAACCCTCATCTGGAAGCACCGTTCTCACTACAACCCTCATCTGGAAGCACCGTTCTCACTACAACCCTCATCTGGAAGCACCGTTCTCACTACAGCCCTCATCTGGAAGCACCGTTCTCACTACAACCCTCATCTGGAAGCACCGTTCTCACTACAACCCTCATCTGGAAGCACCGTTCTCACTACAACCCTCATCTGGAAGCACCGTTCTCACTACAACCCTCATCTGGAAGCACCGTTCTCACTACAACCCTCATCTGGAAGCACCGTTCTCACTACAACCCTCATCTGGAAGCACCGTTCTCACTACAACCCTCATCTGGAAGCACCGTTCTCACTACAACCCTCATCTGGAAGCACCGTTCTCACTACAACCCTCATCTGGAAGCACCGTTCTCACTACAACCCTCATCTGGAAGCACCGTTCTCACTACAACCCTCATCTGGAAGCACCGTTCTCACTACAACCCTCATCTAGAAGCACCGTTCTCACTACAACCCTCATCTGGAAGCACCGTTCTCACTACAACCCTCATCTGGAAGCACCGTTCTCACTACAACCCTCATCTGGAAGCACCGTGCTCACTACAACCCTCATCTGGAAGCACCGTTCTCACTACAACCCTCATCTCGAAGCACCGTTCTCACTACAACCCTCATCTGGAAGCACCGTTCTCACTACAACCCTCATCTGGAAGCACCGTTCTCACTACAACCCTCATCTGGAAGCACCGTTCTCACTACAACCCTCATCTGGAAGCACCGTTCTCACTACAACCCTCATCTGGAAGCACCGTTCTCACTACAACCCTCATCTCGAAGCACCGTTCTCACTACAACCCTCATCTGGATGCACCGTTCTCACTACAACCCTCATCTGGAAGCACCGTTCTCACTACAACCCTCATCTGGAAGCACCGTTCTCACTACAACCCTCATCTGGAAGCACCATTCTCACTACAACCCTCATCTGGAAGCACCGTTCTCACTACAACCCTCATCTGGAAGCACCGTTCTCACTACAACCCTCATCTGGAAGCACCGTTCTCACTACAACCCTCATCTAGAAGCACCGTTCTCACTACAACCCTCATCTGGAAGCCCCGTTCTCACTACAACCCTCATCTGGAAGCACCGTTCTCACTACAACCCTCATCTGGAAGCACCGTGCTCACTACAACCCTCATCTGGAAGCACCGTTCTCACTACAACCCTCATCTCGAAGCACCGTTCTCACTACAACCCTCATCTGGAAGCACCGTTCTCACTACAACCCTCATCTGGAAGCACCGTTCTCACTACAACCCTCATCTGGAAGCACCGTTCTCACTACAACCCTCATCTGGAAGCACCGTTCTCACTACAACCCTCATCTGGAAGCACCGTTCTCACTACAACCCTCATCTGGAAGCACCGTTCTCACTACAACCCTCATCTGGAAGCACCGTTCTCACTACAACCCTCATCTGGAAGCACCGTTCTCACTACAACCCTCATCTGGAAGCACCGTTCTCACTACAACCCTCATCTGGTCTGGAAGCACCGTTCTCACTACAACCCTCATCTGGAAGCACCGTTCTCACTACAACCCTCATCTGGAAGCACCGTTCTCACTACAACCCTCATCTGGAAGCACCGTTCTCACTACAACCCTCATCTGGAAGCACCGTTCTCACTACAACCCTCATCTGGAAGCACCGTTCTCACTACAGCCCTCATCTGGAAGCACCGTTCTCACTACAACCCTCATCTGGAAGCACCGTTCTCACTACAACCCTCATCTGGAAGCACCGTGCTCACTACAACCCTCATCTGGAAGCACCGTTCTGACTACAACCCTCATCTGGAAGCACCGTTCTCACTACAACCCTCATCTGGAAGCACCGTTCTCACTACAACCCTCATGTGGAAGCACCGTTCTCACTACAACCCTCATCTGGAAGCACCTTTCTCACTACAACCCTCATCTGGAAGCACCGCTCTCACTACAACCCTCATCTGGAAGCACCGTTCTCACTACAACCCTCACCTGGAAGCACCGTTCTCACTACAACCCTCATCTGGAAGCACCGTTCTCACTACAACCCTCATCTGGAAGCACCGTTTTCACTACAACCCTCATCTGGAAGCACCGTTCTCACTACAACCCTCACCTGGAAGCACCGTTCTCACTACAACCCTCATCTGGAAGCACCGTTCTCACTACAACCCTCATCTGGAAGCACCGTTCTCACTACAACCCTCATCTGGAAGCACCGTTCTCACTACAACCCTCATCTGGAAGCACCGTTCTCACTACAACCCTCATCTGGAAGCACCGTTCTCACTACAACCCTCATCTGGAAGCACCGTTCTCACTACAACCCTCATCTGGAAGCACCGTGCTCACTACAACCCTCATCTGGAAGCACCGTTCTCACTACAACCCTCATCTGGAAACACCGTTCTCACTATAACCCTCATCTGGAAGCACCGTTCTCACTACAACCCTCATGTGGAAGCACCGTGCTCACTACAACCCTCATCTGGAAGCACCGTGCTCACTACAACCCTCATCTGGAAGCACCGTTCTCACTACAACCCTCATCTCGAAGCACCATTCTCACTACAACCCTCATCTGGAAGCACCGTTCTCACTACAACCCTCATCTGGAAGCACCGTTCTCACTACAACCCTCATCTGAAAGCACCGTTCTCACTACAACCCTCATCTGGAAGCACCGTTCTCACTACAACCCTCATCTGGAAGCACCGTTCTCACTACAACCCTCATCTGGAAGCACCGTTCTCACTACAACCCTCATCTGGAAGCACCGTTCTCACTACAACCCTCATCTGGAAGCACCGTTCTCACTACAACCCTCATCTAGAAGCACCGTTCTCACTACAACCCTCATCTGGAAGCACCGTTCTCACTACAACCCTCATCTGGAAGCACCGTTCTCACTACAACCCTCATCTGGAAGCACCGTGCTCACTACAACCCTCATCTGGAAGCACCGTTCTCACTACAACCCTCATCTCGAAGCACCGTTCTCACTACAACCCTCATCTGGAAGCACCGTTCTCACTACAACCCTCATCTGGAAGCACCGTTCTCACTACAACCCTCATCTGGAAGCACCGTTCTCACTACAACCCTCATCTGGAAGCACCGTTCTCACTACAACCCTCATCTGGAAGCACCGTTCTCACTACAACCCTCATCTCGAAGCACCGTTCTCACTACAACCCTCATCTGGAAGCACCGTTCTCACTACAACCCTCATCTGGAAGCACCGTTCTCACTACAACCCTCATCTGGAAGCACCGTTCTCACTACAACCCTCATCTGGAAGCACCGTTCTCACTACAACCCTCATCTGGAAGCACCGTTCTCACTACAACCCTCATCTGGAAGCACCGTTCTCACTACAACCCTCATCTGGAAGCACCGTTCTCACTACAACCCTCATCTAGAAGCACCGTTCTCACTACAACCCTCATCTGGAAGCACCGTTCTCACTACAACCCTCATCTGGAAGCACCGTTCTCACTACAACCCTCATCTGGAAGCACCGTGCTCACTACAACCCTCATCTGGAAGCACCGTTCTCACTACAACCCTCATCTCGAAGCACCGTTCTCACTACAACCCTCATCTGGAAGCACCGTTCTCACTACAACCCTCATCTGAAAGCACCGTTCTCACTACAACCCTCATCTGGAAGCACCGTTCTCACTACAACCCTCATCTGGAAGCACCGTGCTCACTACAACCCTCATCTGGAAGCACCGTTCTCACTACAACCCTCATCTGGAAGCACCGTTCTCACTACAACCCTCATCTGGAAGCACCGTTCTCACTACAACCCTCATCTGGAAGCACCGTTCTCACTACAACCCTCATCTAGAAGCACCGTTCTCACTACAACCCTCATCTGGAAGCACCGTTCTCACTACAACCCTCATCTGGAAGCACCGTTCTCACTACAACCCTCATCTGGAAGCACCGTGCTCACTACAACCCTCATCTGGAAGCACCGTTCTCACTACAACCCTCATCTCGAAGCACCGTTCTCACTACAACCCTCATCTGGAAGCACCGTTCTCACTACAACCCTCATCTGGAAGCACCGTTCTCACTACAACCCTCATCTGGAAGCACCGTTCTCACTACAACCCTCATCTGGAAGCACCGTTCTCACTACAACCCTCATCTGGAAGCACCGTTCTCACTACAACCCTCATCTCGAAGCACCGTTCTCACTACAACCCTCATCTGGAAGCACCGTTCTCACTACAACCCTCATCTGGAAGCACCGTTCTCACTACAACCCTCATCTGGAAGCACCGTTCTCACTACAACCCTCATCTGGAAGCACCGTTCTCACTACAACCCTCATCTGGAAGCACCGTTCTCACTACAACCCTCATCTGGAAGCACCGTTCTCACTACAACCCTCATCTGGAAGCACCGTTCTCACTACAACCCTCATCTAGAAGCACCGTTCTCACTACAACCCTCATCTGGAAGCACCGTTCTCACTACAACCCTCATCTGGAAGCACCGTTCTCACTACAACCCTCATCTGGAAGCACCGTGCTCACTACAACCCTCATCTGGAAGCACCGTTCTCACTACAACCCTCATCTCGAAGCACCGTTCTCACTACAACCCTCATCTGGAAGCACCGTTCTCACTACAACCCTCATCTGGAAGCACCGTTCTCACTACAACCCTCATCTGGAAGCACCGTTCTCACTACAACCCTCATCTGGAAGCACCGTTCTCACTACAACCCTCATCTGGAAGCACCGTTCTCACTACAACCCTCATCTGGAAGCACCGTTCTCACTACAACCCTCATCTGGAAGCACCGTTCTCACTACAACCCTCATCTGGAAGCACCGTTCTCACTACAACCCTCATCTGGAAGCACCGTTCTCACTACAACCCTCATCTGGTCTGGAAGCACCGTTCTCACTACAACCCTCATCTGGAAGCACCGTTCTCACTACAACCCTCATCTGGAAGCACCGTTCTCACTACAACCCTCATCTGGAAGCACCGTTCTCACTACAACCCTCATCTGGAAGCACCGTTCTCACTACAACCCTCATCTGGAAGCACCGTTCTCACTACAACCCTCATCTGGAAGCACCGTTCTCACTACAACCCTCATCTGGAAGCACCGTTCTCACTACAACCCTCATCTGGAAGCACCGTGCTCACTACAACCCTCATCTGGAAGCACCGTTCTGACTACAACCCTCATCTGGAAGCACCGTTCTCACTACAACCCTCATCTGGAAGCACCGTTCTCACTACAACCCTCATGTGGAAGCACCGTTCTCACTACAACCCTCATCTGGAAGCACCTTTCTCACTACAACCCTCATCTGGAAGCACCGCTCTCACTACAACCCTCATCTGGAAGCACCGTTCTCACTACAACCCTCACCTGGAAGCACCATTCTCACTACAACCCTCATCTGGAAGCACCGTTCTCACTACAACCCTCATCTGGAAGCACCGTTTTCACTACAACCCTCATCTGGAAGCACCGTTCTCACTACAACCCTCACCTGGAAGCACCGTTCTCACTACAACCCTCATCTGGAAGCACCGTTCTCACTACAACCCTCATCTGGAAGCACCGTTCTCACTACAACCCTCATCTGGAAGCACCGTTCTCACTACAACCCTCATCTGGAAGCACCGTTCTCACTACAACCCTCATCTGGAAGCACCGTTCTCACTACAACCCTCATCTGGAAGCACCGTTCTCACTACAACCCTCATCTGGAAGCACCGTGCTCACTACAACCCTCATCTGGAAGCACCGTTCTCACTACAACCCTCATCTGGAAACACCGTTCTCACTATAACCCTCATCTGGAAGCACCGTTCTCACTACAACCCTCATGTGGAAGCACCGTGCTCACTACAACCCTCATCTGGAAGCACCGTGCTCACTACAACCCTCATCTGGAAGCACCGTTCTCACTACAACCCTCATCTCGAAGCACCATTCTCACTACAACCCTCATCTGGAAGCACCGTTCTCACTACAACCCTCATCTGGAAGCACCGTTCTCACTACAACCCTCATCTGAAAGCACCGTTCTCACTACAACCCTCATCTGGAAGCACCGTTCTCACTACAACCCTCATCTGGAAGCACCGTTCTCACTACAACCCTCATCTGGAAGCACCGTTCTCACTACAACCCTCATCTGGAAGCACCGTTCTCACTACAACCCTCATCTGCTGAAGCCTGGAGAGACGTTCCCCGAGGGAGGCTACAAAGGGGTACCGAACGGGGAAAAAAGGAACTACCCAGGGGTGAGCACTTGGCCTCGCCTGCCTGCATCCAGTCGTGCGCAGACCGGTGGCAAGGCGGGGGGCATAGAGCGGTACCTGGCGGAGAGGGTCAGCCACTCCAAATTGCGCCAGTTGATCACCAAGCTGGTGGTCGCATGCGATTTGGCGTTCCGCGTGGTCGACTCGGACGCGTGGTCGCTTCATGAGTTCATGTCATGCATTGGTGTCCCACCTAAGTCCACCCAAGTCATGTGCTTCCTTACTTACGTTCCCTGTCGATTGAATTCACCTAAACACTCTCTCTCCCGCCCCTACTTCATTCTTTCCCATGTGTACGTGGCAGTTCAAAGAGTTGCTAGCATACTTCAACACCCAGTGTGGCGAGAAAGGTGTTGTACCCACGCGTTGGACTGTCGCACGAGACACGGTCGTATTCGCCAAGAAGGCAAAGGAGGCTGCGATCGCCGAGTTGGCGAAGACCAAGTGACCACGGACACCAGCCCGGTTTCGTACACCACGGACATTTGGACCAGCCCTAATGGGAAATCATACATGGTGGTGACGGCCCACTGCATCTCCGACACTTGGGAGCTGCGTCAGATGGTACTCGCATTCCGGGAGATGCCTAACGGGCATAGTGCTGTGCGGATTGCGGAGGTGGTGGAGGAGGTGATGGAGGAGGTGATGGAGGAGGTGGTGGAGGAGGTGGTGGAGGAGGTGGTGGAGGAGGTGGTGGAGGAATGGAAGTTGGAGACGCGTTGCCTCGGTCTCATGACCGACAACGCGTCTTCCAACGTTGCGGCCCTCCGTTTGCTCTCTGAGGAGGGCGTGCGCAAGCTGTACTTCCACGAGTGCGCGCACTTTAGGTACGTTATGTACCTCCCTCCCCCATTCTTGAACTTCCCACTCGTCCCTTCGCTCCTATCCATACCATGCAATCCCTTCACTCCCTAACATAAAGCCTCATGTCCTGGACCATCCATAACACCTAAACCGACCTTTCCCCTGTCTCCCCTCTCTCCCTTGGTTTCCTTCCCAAAACCCTCAATCCCTCTCCCCTTTCTGCAGATGCCTCGCACACATCGAACACTGTTCGGTTCAATCAGCGCTGGCCGTCGATTCGCTGCAGAAGCTTTTGAAGAAGCTTCGCGACCTTGCATGTCCACGAAACGGTCAGCAGCTTGGATGCAGCTTCAGGTTGCGAACACGGTACTGCCGGGCGGCCCGCACAAGCTGGTCCAAGACAGCCCTACGCGCTGGGGGTCAACGCACGAGATGGTGGTGCGATTCCTCTTAGTGAAGCGCTTCATCAACATGTGGCTCTCCATTGACCAGGTAGACTTGTCATCAAATGCACGTGATATGCTTTGCTAACACCATTGAGCTGTACCACTCTTCGTTGTTGGCTGACCCTTTTGCACTTGCCCATTACATTGAAGCACGGGTCCCGTTCTTCCCACACCCGCCCTCTCCCCACTACAGGGAACCACCAAGGAAGAGCGCGAGAAGTGGCGGTCACTGCGCGTGGCCAATGAGGAGTGGGAGGCCTTGCAGGCTCTGGAGCGGTTTCTGAAACCTTTCGCCAAAGTCTCCAAGGCTGCAAAAGGGTCGGCTTATCCCACCCTGTCGATGGTGCTGCCGTATTACAACGGACTCATCGACAGCTTGGAGAAGCAGCTCTTTGAGGCTGCGCTGGAGCATTTGAAGAAGTATGACTTCGCGATTGGGGACGAGCACGCGATTGCCACTAGGGTTGAGCAAAAAAACGAACACCTGTTCGGTTCGCCTCGAACACGTTCGAGGCGAACCGAACAGGTATTTTTTTTTTGGCTTAAAATGTTCGCCGAACAGTGTTCGATGTTCGCCCGAACACGTTCGTGTTCGGGCCGCTGCTGCAATTTGCCCGCGACGAACACGAACAGTGCTCGAGGTTCGCCCGAACACGCCTTCACAGGCGAACGGCGAACACCATTTTTTGCTCAAAGTGTTCGCCGAACCGAACAGTGTTCGGTTCGGCAAATGAAGGTGTTCGTGTAGGGGCGAACACGAACACGTTCGTGTTCGCCACTTGCTCATTCCTAATTGCCACCTTCTTTGACCCGTCAATGAAGGCGGAGTACTTCTCCATGCCACACTGGGAGCAGCAGCACCCAGAGTTGATGGCGCAGGGGAGTGGGAGGGTGCGGCTGCGTGTGGGCGCTGAGAGGGTCGTTAGCCTGGTGAGGAGGCATGTGGCTGAGTATCGTGCTCGTGCAGCAGCCCAGGCTCCTGCACCACAGCCACCCCCCGCAGCAGCAGTTGCAGTCGCAGCAGAGGACGACGACGACGACGAGTTCCTCCCTAGCAAGCAGAGGCTTCAGGCACGGGTGGCTGCGAGGGCAGCAGCTGGGGGGGGGGGGGGGGAGGTGGGGTGGTAGCAGTGCAGGACAAGGTGGAGCGGTACTTGGCCGAGATGCCGGTCTACAGCATGACGGCACTGCAGTAATGGCAGCAGGCAGAGAACATGGCCACACTGAAGCAGATGGCGCGGGACTATCTGGCGATCCCAGCAACATCTGCTGCCAGTGAGAGAGCGTTCTCCATGGGTAGGGACTTGATCTCGTGGAAGCGGCAGCGTCTCAGCAACGAGCGGGTGAGTGCGTGCATGACTCTACGGTCATGGTACGGGACTCACCTGGTTTTGCTTAAAGTGTTCGCCGAACCGAACTGTGTTCGGTTCGGCAAACGGCTGTGTTCGTGTAGGGGCGATCCCTACGTGTGGAGCAGAGCAGCAACGGCGTGGGGGGGGATTCTGCACCATATGGGGCAGGGGAGGGGGCTATGGGCGGGCAGGGATTGACACAGGCATAGCTCTATGGATTGGTCTGCATGGTGGTGTCTGGCATGAAGTGCTTGCTGATTTTATACCATGAACATTTAGTAGCTAGACATACGTGGTACCTGGCCTGCTTGTTTGTGTGCAGGATGCTTGGTTCTCGTACTGTGTGTGTGTCATGTCATGATCCGTGCATTGAGGATGGGGAGGACGAGGAGGCGGAGGAGGAGGCGAGAGCGGTAGAGGGTGCGGGAGGTGGCCGTGCGGCGCAAGGCAGCGGCGGCTTGAGGGGGGATTATGCACCATATGGGGCAGGGGAGGGGGCTATGGGCGGGTGGGGTTTGATGCAGGCGTAGCTCTATGGCCTTGTCTGTGTGGTGGTGACCGGCATGCATTGCTTGCAGATTTGACACCATCAACCTTTAGTAGCTAGCTAGACCAACTTCATACTTGGGCTGCTTGTTTGTGTGCAAGGTGCATGGTTTCCGGAATGTGTGTGTGTGTTATGTCGTGGTGACTGCCTTCCTTTTCCTAATCCTAGCAGGGGAAGTGTCGTTCTGTCCTCCTGGGGAGGGCCCATGAAATCAATAAAGTAGCTAGAGAGATACATATAAGGTTGTGGTCTGGTCTGCATGTGGCGTGATTCCCAGCATGTGTGTGACATGTCCTGTTGACTGAACCCTCCTATGTTCCCTCGAACATCTAAGTATTCGCCCCTGAATGCGAACACTCAAACAGTACTTCCTGGAAAAGTGTTCGAACGAACCGAACACGTTCGGTTTGAAAGTTCAAGGTGTTCGGAAATGTTCGACTCAAACGTGTTCGGATTCGTGCGATGCTCATTTCTAATATACAGTATTGGAAGACAGGTACTAAAAAGCTCTCCTATCCGCAAGAGGTGAGAGAAAGCAAAGCAGACGGAAAGGTGGTAATGGGGTTTATAAATTATAGTGAGGGGTAAAGGGCAAGAGAGGTGACAATGTTACGTGGCAACAGCATGTGAAGAGGCAGGGAAGAAGGTGGTACGATGTGCTGTTGTCTACCATGACAGGGAGCGTGTGAAAGCCAGAGTGAAGGAGAGAGGAAGCAGAGTTTGAAGGAGAGAGGAAGCAGAGTTTGAAGGAGAGAGGAAGCAGAGTTTGAAGGAGAGAGGAAGCAGAGTTTGAAGGAGAGAATGGAAGGAGGGATGGAGGGAGCAAAAGAGTGATGACGCATACGGAGAAAAGGATCGAAGGACCAGGGGAGAAGAGGGGTGGGGAGGGGACGAAACCATGAGGAATTGGCGTTCTGACAGCCATGCTGCCATTCACGCTCCGAGGGTCAAGTCCCATGCGTTCCTTCAATCATGTCAATCACAAAACGCTGCTCGCATCAAAAGCACCAGTGTCCACCCACATGCCTGTGCTGTTATTAGTAAACAGGTGGGCTGCGGAGGTCTGACGTCCATCAACTTGGATGTTATTGAGACGGCGAAACGAACTCCATGAGATGAAAGTGGGAAGCCTGGTTTAAGCTTGCATGCTAGATCGTATTTTAGTAGGCCAGTTTGAACGAAAACGGAATCTTAAAATCAGAACTTGAGTAAACTAGTTTCGGCTCTTGCGAGCCTTCATCAGTACAAACAAGCCTGAGAATAATCCCAAGACATTACGCCGACTTTTATGCCCACCTGTTTACTAATAACAGCACCTGCATCGAGTGATACGGTTGTGGCCAGAGGCTCTCCTTCTTCCGACGACGATTCATCCGACTCAGAGGCCTTTCAGGAGGCCTCCCGCTTTTTCGTCTTTCGCGCTACCAAGCGTCAGCGAGAGGAATCTGACAATTCCCTTCAGCTGGAAAACGGAAAGTTTGAGTTTACTCCAATTCCATATCGAACCACTCATCCCAAGACATTACGCCGACTTTTATCAGACCTCCGCAGCCCACCTGTTTACTAATAACAGCACCTGCATCGAGTGATACGGTTGTGGCCAGAGGCTCTCCTTCTTCCGACGACGATTCATCCGACTCAGAGGCCTTTCAGGAGGCCTCCCGCTTTTTCGTCTTTCGCGCTACCAAGCGTCAGCGAGAGGAATCTGACAATTCCCTTCAGCTGGAAAACGGAAAGTTTGAGTTTACTCCAATTCCATATCGAACCACTCATCCCAAGACATTACGCCGACTCGCCTCGACATTTTCATCCATCCGCCTGGTTAGCTCAGCCTGATCGTAGAGTATTTCAGCTAGTTTGTTCATTACCGTCTCTTATTCTCAGGCTTGTTTGTACTGATGAAGGCTCGCAAGAGCCGAAACTAGTCTTTATTTAAGATTCCGTTTTCGTTCAAACTGGCCTACTAAAATACGATCTAGCATACAAGCTTAAACCAGGCTTCCCACTTTCATCTCATGGAGTTCGTTTCGCCGTCTCAATAACATCCAAGTTGATGGACGTCAGACCTCCGCAGCCCACCTGTTTACTAATAACAGCACCCGCTCCGAGGGTCAAGTCCCATGCGTTCCTTCAATCATGTCAATCACAAAACGCTGCTCGCATCAAAAGCACCAGTGTCCACCCACATGCCTCTTATCACCTAGACATGAGCATTTTCATGACTCAAACATGTTCAGTTCGAAAGTATTTTTAGGTTCGAACGGGTTCGAGTTCAACGCGAACATCAAAGTGTTTGCGATAAGAACCAGCGCGATATTGGCCGCGCTGGTTTACAATTTGCGGTTGCGAAATTCTGAGATTGAGCTCATCCCGAGCTCAATCTCAAGCTTTTAGTTCAGAACAGGCTTAGGCAATAAGTGGCCTTTAACATTAGCCAAAACGCGCACATTCTAGGGTGCTTAGGCATTCCCGCCACTAAGTGCCTGTTTTTTACAGATCCACTGTTGCGTAAACGCGGTTTACTGTTAGTTGTCGTCCTGACGGACTCATTGACCGTGGCGACCAGGGAGGGGAAACGATGGGGGACAGCCAGGGCCGTCAGGGTTCGTCGCTGGTGGCAACTCCGGAACGCCGGGCATTCTCCGAAAGGTTTCTCCTCCCAGGACGCTCCCCAGCGCACACACATTCCGCCTTAGTGGGAGGGTGGTGGCCGGGGTGCGAGTGGTGGAGGTGGAGGAGGAGGAGGAGGAGGAGGAGGAGGAGGAGGAGGAGGAGGAGGAGGAGGAGGAGGAGGAGGAGGAGGAGGAGGAGGAGGAGGAGGAGGAGGAGGAGGAGGAGGAGGAGGAGGAGGAGGGGGGGGGTGGAGGAAGAAGAGGACGGGGGAAGGGGTTGGCTGGAGAATGGGTTGGCTGGAGAATGGGTTGGCTGGAGAATGGGTTGGCTGGAGAATGGGTTGGCTGGAGAATGGGTTGGCTGGAGAATGGGTTGGCTGGAGAATGGGTTGGCTGGAGAATGGGTTGGGGTGGAGAATGGGTTGGCTGGAGAATGGGTTGGGGTGGAGAATGGGTTGGCTGGAGAATGGGTTGGCTGGAGAATGGGTTGGCTGGAGAATGGGTTGGCTGGAGAATGGGTTGGCTGGAGAATGGGTTGGCTGGAGAATGGGTTGGCTGGAGAATGGGTTGGCTGGAGAATGGGTTGGCTGGAGAATGGGTTGGCTGGAGAATGGGTTGGCTGGAGAATGGGTTGGCTGGAGAATGGGTTGGCTGGAGAATGGGTTGGCTGGAGAATGGGTTGGCTGGAGAATGGGTTGGCTGGAGAATGGGTTGGCTGGAGAATGGGTTGGCTGGAGAATGGGTTGGCTGGAGAATGGGTTGGCTGGAGAATGGGTTGGCTGGAGAATGGGTTGGCTGGAGAATGGGTTGGCTGGAGAATGGGTTGGCTGGAGAATGGGTTGGCTGGAGAATGGGTTGGCTGGAGAATGGGTTGGCTGGAGAATGGGTTGGCTGGAGAATGGGTTGGCTGGAGAATGGGTTGGCTGGAGAATGGGTTGGCTGGAGAATGGGTTGGCTGGAGAATGGGTTGGCTGGAGAATGGGTTGGCTGGAGAATGGGTTGGCTGGAGAATGGGTTGGCTGGAGAATGGGTTGGCTGGAGAATGGGTTGGCTGGAGAATGGGTTGGCTGGAGAATGGGTTGGCTGGAGAATGGGTTGGCTGGAGAATGGGTTGGCTGGAGAATGGGTTGGCTGGAGAATGGGTTGGCTGGAGAATGGGTTGGCTGGAGAATGGGTTGGCTGGAGAATGGGTTGGCTGGAGAATGGGTTGGCTGGAGAATGGGTTGGGGTGGAGAATGGGTTGGCTGGAGAATGGGTTGGGGTGGAGAATGGGTTGGCTGGAGAATGGGTTGGGATGGAGAATGGGTTGGCTGGAGAATGGGTTGGCTGGAGAATGGGTTGGCTGGAGAATGGGTTGGCTGGAGAATGGGTTGGCTGGAGAATGGGTTGGCTGGAGAATGGGTTGGCTGGAGAATGGGTTGGCTGGAGAATGGGTTGGCTGGAGACTATATTGGAAAAGTCGCCAGAAACCATAAGCGCACTCCGTATAGTCGTTTACGAATATACGGTGTACGCAAGTCGTACGTATATTCGTTGGCGAAAGTTCGGGCTGACCCGAAAAAAAACCAGATTTCAATAGTCGCGCACGAATTGCGAATGTGCGACGCGACTCAAAATGTACGCACGTCCCACCCCAATTTGTACGCACGTCCCAACCACATTGTCACCCACACCTGTCAAAATGTGGGGACGTGGGAAAATTTGAACCGCACTGCACCCTATGCTATCGCGCGACGCGACTCCAACACACAAACACGAATGTCGTCAACCAGCGTAGGTGGTTCAACCACATCCTGGACTATAAGTTAAGCTCTCATTCCCGTCATCTGTATTATCTCTCTCGTTCATTCTCTCTCAACACTCCCGCTCACCTGCACTTGATGTCGACTCCTTCTGGTACTCCCGCAAGTGCCACTAGTGAGGCTCCTAGTGTTTCGAATGACGCGACCATGGCGGACGACGAGGATGTTCCTGTGAACACCCATGTTTTTTTTATGCATTTCCTTACCTCTACCGAAGGTACCTCGAATGGTCCTGAGCGTACTCTCCGCATATGCCGGCACTGCAAGCTTAAGTTCGTAGGGGGCGCCTTCCGTTGCGCGCAACACATCACGCGCTGGAAAGGGCTGAAACGGAAGGACGTCCGTCTTTGCAAGGCGCCTATCCCTTCTGCTGACCGCGGCGCCGTCCGCGAATTGTACGGAGGCAAACACGCCCGCAGGGAAGGGAAGAAGAAGGCGGAGGAGATGGCGATCGAGGCGTGTGCGGGTGGAGCGAAGAAGCAGTGCATCGAAGACTTCTACGGGGAAGGGGCGTCGTGTGCGAAGGAATCGGCAGACGACGCCATCTGCCTCATGTGGGCCGCACTTCACCTCCCGGAGCATCTCGCCGATCACCCTCTCTGGCGCAACGCTGTGCGCTGCATCACGGACGCGGGCCATGGCTACGTTCCCTTGAAGCGGCGGTATGTTGGTGGCGCCGGCCTTGCGCGCTGCCGCGAAAAGATCGAGAGAGGGCTCGCTCCCATCACTGCGAGCTGGAAGCGGGATGGCGTGACGATAGGCTCGGACATGATGACGGACAAAAGTGGCCGTCCCCAAGCCAACATCCTGCTCATCAACGATTCCGGTGCAGTGTTCACCGAAAGCATCGACTGTAAGTTGGAGACGAAGACGGGAGGCTACATTGCATCCGTTTTGCGCCCGATCATTGAGAAGGTGGGGCCCGCCAACATAGTTGCGTTATGCATGGATGGGGGCAGTAATTATGCGGCTGCATGTAGGGAACTCATGCTTGAGTATCCTCACATTGAGCATGTGCCGTGCGCTACTCACGTCATGGATCTGCTCATGGAGGACATTGGGAAAATGGATTGGGCGAAGGACATTGTGGCTAAGGCGGGGGTGATTATTACCTTTGTGCGTGCCCACCATTTCACCAAAGGTTACATGCGAAGCCCGCAAGTGAAGGGAGGGAAGGGGAAGCAGGTGCTGAAGCCGACGGGCACCAGATTTGGCACGCAATTCATCGCGGTGCAGCGGCTTTGCGAGGTGCGGAGTGCATTGACGCAGATGGTGCTGAGCCCGGAGTGGCAGGCTTGGGCGAAGGGGAGGAAGCCGCCGGTCGAGCCCTTCGCAACCATGATCATGGATGCCGTGTGGTGGAAAGGTGCGGAGTTCTTCGTCGCCCTCCTGAAGATCCCCTTTGTCGTCATGCGCAAGACCGACTCGACGGCCAAGGGCATGATGGGCAGGATGTACGATCTGATGCTACAGCTCACAGAAGACATCAATGCGAAGCTGGAGGAGGAGGAGGCGGGATTGGTGCTGTCCAGCAGTGAACGCACGGAGGTGACCAACATCGTCCAAAAGCGCTGGGACCATAGCATGGCGTGTGCCATGCACGTGGTTGGCCGGATCCTCAACCCGGTCAACCAAGAGGAAGGCATCTTCCGCACCGACCTGGAGTGTACTCGCGTCTTCAAAGCGTTTGTCGCTCGTCACTACGCAGGGCGGACCGTCACGCGCAAGGATGGCGAGGAGCTGCGCGCATCCCACGTCATCCAGGACGGCCTAACGGCATTCAACACCCTTTAGGGGAGCTTCGGCCTACCCGACGCCATCTCTGACCGTGAGCTCGTGAAGGCCGGTAAGAAGACAGCCGTCCAGTGGTGGACGTGGCACGGGACGGAGCACCCCGAGCTGACAACGCTCGCTTGCCGCGTTCTCTCTCAGCCAGTGTCCGCATCGGCGTGTGAGAGGAACTGGGCAGTGTGGGAATCGATCCACACTGCCAAGCGCAACAGGTTGGGGTCCGAGAAGTGTCGGGACCTCGTGTATGTTGCGCACAATTGGAACATTGTGCGCAACTGGCACAAGGGGGCTGAGTGGGTGACGGTTCTCCCGGGGAACATCCCTGAGGCCTCCCTGCCGGAAGGGTACAACGAGGTTCTGGAGGAGGATGAGGAGGAGGGGGAGGAGGATGAGCTGGAGGATGAGTACAAGTAGAGGAGGAAGGAAGGGACGGGGGGAGTAGAGGGTGGGAGTAGGGGGTGGGGTAGGAGAGATGCATGTTGCTTGCTTAGAGTAGTTGAGAATGGTGGGTTTTTTCAATATATGAAATTCGGTAAAACCACCACTCCCCCCCCCCCTCCTTAGGCGGTTTTTTTCGTCTGCCCGGTAAAAACCTTTTGCTGCCCAGGCAGCGTACTTTCTGCGACTTTCAAAGTCACTCACGAAGCGCATAACGCACTATACGCAAGCGTATATACGCTTGCGTATAGTGCGCTGGGCGCGACTTTTGCAACATAGGCTGGAGAATGGGTTGGCTGGAGAATGGGTTGGGGTGGAGAATGGGTTGGCTGGAGAATGGGTTGGCTGGAGAATGGGTTGGCTGGAGAATGGGTTGGCTGGAGAATGGGTTGGGCTGGAGAATGGGTTGGCTGGAGAATGGGTTGGGGTGGAGAATGGGTTGGCTGGAGAATGGGTTGGGGTGGAGAATGGGTTGGCTGGAGAATGGGTTGGGGTGGAGAATGGGTTGGCTGGAGAATGGGTTGGGCTGGAGAATGGGTTGGCTGGAGAATGGGTTGGCTGGAGAATGGGTTGGCTGGAGAATGGGTTGGCTGGAGAATGGGTTGGCTGGAGAATGGGTTGGCTGGAGAATGGGTTGGCTGGAGAATGGGTTGGCTGGAGAATGGGTTGGCTGGAGAATGGGTTGGCTGGAGAATGGGTTGGCTGGAGAATGGGTTGGCTGGAGAATGGGTTGGCTGGAGAATGGGTTGGCTGGAGAATGGGTTGGCTGGAGAATGGGTTGGCTGGAGAATGGGTTGGCTGGAGAATGGGTTGGCTGGAGAATGGGTTGGCTGGAGAATGGGTTGGCTGGAGAATGGGTTGGCTGGAGAATGGGTTGGCTGGAGAATGGGTTGGCTGGAGAATGGGTTGGCTGGAGAATGGGTTGGCTGGAGAATGGGTTGGCTGGAGAATGGGTTGGCTGGAGAATGGGTTGGCTGGAGAATGGGTTGGCTGGAGAATGGGTTGGCTGGAGAATGGGTTGGCTGGAGAATGGGTTGGCTGGAGAATGGGTTGGCTGGAGAATGGGTTGGCTGGAGAATGGATGGGTTGGCTGGAGAATGGGTTGGCTGGAGAATGGGTTGGCTGGAGAATGGGTTGGCTGGAGAATGGGTTGGCTGGAGAATGGGTTGGCTGGAGAATGGGTTGGCTGGAGAATGGGTTGGCTGGAGAATGGGTTGGCTGGAGAATGGGTTGGCTGGAGAATGGGTTGGCTGGAGAATGGGTTGGCTGGAGAATGGGTTGGCTGGAGAATGGGTTGGCTGGAGAATGGGTTGGCTGGAGAATGGGTTGGCTGGAGAATGGGTTGGCTGGAGAATGGGTTGGCTGGAGAATGGGTTGGCTGGAGAATGGGTTGGCTGGAGAATGGGTTGGCTGGAGAATGGGTTGGCTGGAGAATGGGTTGGCTGGAGAATGGGTTGGCTGGAGAATGGGTTGGCTGGAGAATGGGTTGGCTGGAGAATGGGTTGGCTGGAGAATGGGTTGGCTGGAGAATGGGTTGGCTGGAGAATGGGTTGGCTGGAGAATGGGTTGGCTGGAGAATGGGTTGGCTGGAGAATGGGTTGGCTGGAGAATGGGTTGGCTGGAGAATGGGTTGGCTGGAGAATGGGTTGGCTGGAGAATGGGTTGGCTGGAGAATGGGTTGGGGTGGAGAGGCGCGCAGCTCTCTCTCCGGGTAGCGGAGGCGAGAGCGGTTCCGAGTATGACCCCGAAGAAAAGGAAGGAGGGGCGGGCGAGGACGAGGAGGAGAGGGGGGGCGAGGTGCAGGAGGCTTCAAGGCTCCTCCAAGCCCTCTCTCCCTCTCTAGTTTCTGCCCTCTCTGAACCTCCCGTCTCCGCCGTCCATCCCTTCTTTAAGCGAACCCCCTCCCATCCCTTCTTTAAGCGAACCCCCTCCCATCCCTTCTTTAAGCGAACCCCCTCCCATCCCTTCTTTAAGCGAACCCCCTCCCATCCCTTCTTTAAGCGAACCCCCTCCCATCCCTTCTTTAAGCGAACCCCCTCCCATCCCTTCTTTAAGCGAACCCCCTCCCATCCCTTCTTTAAGCGAACCCCCTCCCATCCCTTCTTTAAGCGAACCCCCTCCCATCCCTTCTTTAAGCGAACCCCCTCCCATCCCTTCTTTAAGCGAACCCCCTCCCATCCCTTCTTTAAGCGAACCCCCTCCCATCCCTTCTTTAAGCGAACCCCCTCCCATCCCTTCTTTAAGCGAACCCCCTCCCATCCCTTCTTTAAGCGAACCCCCTCCCATCCCTTCTTTAAGCGAACCCCCTCCCATCCCTTCTTTAAGCGAACCCCCTCCCATCCCTTCACTAAACCCATCCCCACCTTCCCTTCTTAGGATCCCTTCCACTCCCTGCCATCCCTTCCCCCCCTCTCCTCTTCTCTTCCCTGCCTACATGCCTGTTATCAACCACTCACATGCCTGTTACCACTCACATGCCTGTTACCACTCACATGCCTGTTACCACTCACATGCCTGTTACCACTCACATGCCTGTTACCACTCACATGCCTGTTACCACTCACATGCCTGTTACCACTCACATGCCTGTTACCACTCAAATGCCTGTTACCACTCACATGCCTGTTACCACTCACATGCCTGTTACCACTCACATCATGCCTGTTATCACTCCCATGCTTGTTACCACTCACAAGGCCGTTATCATGCCCTGGGAATTGCACGAGATGTTTTTCGCCTTGCTGCAGTCCCCACCAACCACCCAGCCGTCAAACGTTTTGTTCCACGCCTTCTGACAGTCCAGCAGCACTTGCGCTGGCGGCAGGAGGGGGGGAGGGCAGGGCGTGAACGAGAGGAGAGAGAGCCAAGGAGTGAGAGAATGAGAGAGAGGAGCGTGGACATGAGAGGAGCGTGGACATGAGAGGAGCGTGGACATGAGAGGAAAGCGCATCACATGCCCTCCTCCACGTGGACTGGGAGAGAGGGGATTGCACGGCTCCACCTGGGCTCATCACATGCCCTCCACGTGGTGCCAGTTCCTGAAGAGGAATCTGAGTGCTGATGGCATCGCGTGCACTTAGGAATCTGAGTGCTGACGGCATCGCGTGCACTTAGGAATCTGAGTGCTCACGGCATCGCGTGCACTTAGAGGCCACTGGGGAAGACACGGAGAGGGGCAGGGAGCAGCGAGGGAAACATGGGGAGGGGCAGGGAGCAGCTAGGAATCAAGCAATGGTCCTGTCTCCCACCTCCTCTCATGCCTCCTCTCCCACCTCTCCCACCTCTCCCACCTCTACTCCTGCTTCCTACCTCACCTCCTTCCCCACCTCCTCTCCCACCTCTGCTGCTCACCTGCTCCCCGATCACACTCGCGTCATCCTGCGAACAGCCCATTCCCACTCCGCCCGCCCTTCGTCCCGGCACCACCATTCCCACTCTGCCCGCCCTTCGTCCCGGCACCACCATCCCCGCTCCACGCCCAACTGAAAAAGCGACACGGAGCGAGTGAAACTACTAGAAGCCGTGGGAGGCACGCTACCGGTAAGACGGTGCTTAACGCGCAGAGCACGCACCCTGGGAGTCGGCCAAGGGAACGCAGTCGACTCGTGCGACACGAAGACACGCCACCAGGAGCAGCGCGCCGACGAGGTGTAGGGATGCGGCGCACTCCATTGCACCGCGATGAGCGCGGTAAGTCATGGACGGTCGCATGGAAAAACGGGGGCCTGAATACGGGCCTTCAGTACTACTAGATTGGGGACATAGTAGCTTAGGCAGCTTGGTTTTAGGGTTGGTTCCAGCGATTCCGCTTTGACTTGAAGTGGGGCTTTCGGAATTTTGGCGATGGTACCTGGTTACCATTTATGAGATGCGAGATTGGCGAATTGCAGCAGGGAGACTTAGCGAGTGAGTTCATGTGAGTTCAAACCTGCGCACTCCCACTACGCTGCCGTCATTCCGCCCGTCATAAAAAAATATCGAGTCTCTTCCGACCTTCCACACCCACATCAACTCAGCTCTAAATCACGCCAGTCCGCCATGGCCAAGGGTTACGTCGCATCCGCGAAGGCGTGGTTGGCGGCGCAGGTCAACGATGAAGAGCGCCTCGCCGCCAATCTGGTGCGTGCCGAGCCGTGCCGTGCCGCTTCCACTGGTAGATGCTCTTCGTCGTTGACGCACTCGCGAGCCAGATGCTTCGACGCGTTAGTGCGTGACGCGTTAGGTGCGTGACGCGTTATTGCGTGACGCGTTAGTGCGTGACGCGTTATTGCGTGACGCGTTAGTGCGTGACGCGTTAGGTCGATCCAGTCTCGCTCCCAGCCAGGCAACAGATGGATCGCCCCCGTTCGGCCTCGTACCCGGCCGCTTTTTTTCCCGCTTCCGTGTCCCCCATCTAGGAACAACGAGATCGCATCTCGCCACTCGCTGCTCGATCGTCCCTGTGCCATCGATCCCGACTTGGGGATCGGATGCCACTCAGCTGCGGCTCAGCTGCTTTCATCGCGACGTTATGAACCCTGTTCGTAATGAACGCCAATCGTTATGGACGCCGCTCGTTATGAACGCCGCTCGTTATGAACGCCGCTCGTTATGAACGCCGCTCGTTATGAACGCCGCTCGTTATGAACGCCGCTCGTTATGAAAGCAGCCTTGCGGGATTCGTGACTCGCATCTGGTTACCGTCGTCCCTGCTATGTTCAACTCGTTCCTCCCCATCCGCCCCTCGTCTTTCCGTTTTACGTGACCGCGTCCCTCACCGTGTGCATCAAAACCCCCTGTATCCCCCCTGCACCCCCCTGCACCCCCCTGCATCCCCCCTGCATCCCTCCTGCATCCCTCCTGCATCCCCCCTGCATCCTCCCTGCCATCCCCCCTGCCATCCCCCTTGCCATCCCCCTTGCCATCCCCCCTGCATCCCCCCTGCATCCCCCCTGCATCCCCCCTGCATCCCCCCTGCCATCCCCCATGGCAACCCCGCCGTCATGTCGTGTGTGCAGCGGCTGCTGAAGGCCGTGGCGGCGTTCGGAGGGGCCATCTTTCTCATGCGCAACTTCGGCGATGCCATGGCCATCTAGCCATGGCCGTCTAGCCATGGCCGTCTAGCCATGGCCGTCTAGCCATGGCCGTCTAGCCATGGCCGTCTAGCCATGGCCGTCTAGCCATGGCCGTCTAGCCATGGCCATCCAACCGGAGTGATGTTGGCCGTCTAGCCGTGCAGCCGCCACCATCTTGCTGCCGTCCAGCCATCTAGCTGTCTAGCCGGCTAGCCAGCCAGCCCATTCGCCAATAAGCAGTCTAGTTGCTTGCGCATGTAGCCTGCGTGGGTTGGCTGTACACTGTGCTGGGCTCTGGTAAACGAGAAGCGCTCCCTAGTAGGGTGAACAGAATGTGGGGTTAGGGTTTGTAATTTTCAGGGTTTTGCCACTCCCTTTTTGTGTAAAATAATTTCCCCCACAGTATTTGCAAATCTGTACCACAATTCAAACAGCTGGAGGAATGGGTGTGGAATTTTGTTTATGTCCTTCCAACATGCAGGGCGGGTATGTACAGGGCAGTGGAGTGGACTGACAGTACGTGGCCCACAGGTTAGAGGAGCCTAACAAATGTACAGAGTAGTGGAGTGGAGTACCTACTTAGCACTTGAAGGTGGACCAGCTTTGATACAATCCACAGTAACAAAGCTGCTTCACGTGGATAAATTACAGCACAGCACACCAGCTGGAGAATGCGGGGTGGACTGCATGTCAACAATCCACTCCATGCCACCATGGGTCAGACTGATGCCACGGGCTGAAGAGAGGTGCCGAGTTGGGGGTGGGGCTGGGTGGGGGTGCAGCGGAATCACAGCTGCTGCGTCATAGTATGGGTGGGGCAGCATGGCCCAAGCAGAGTTGAGTTGTGAGATGCCAGGAATGAGAGAGACGATGCGAGTGAGGGGTGAGGTGACGAGGGTGAGGAGGGTGCGGGGATGAAGAGGTTGAGGAGGGTGAGGAGGAGGGTGAGGAGGGGATGGTGGCAGAAGCACAGGTTGAGGCGTTGCTCTTAAGGACACAGGACTGGGAGGCGCTGCTTGTGGGGAGGACGGGCGGAGGAAAGGCGGTGCTGGACGAGGGGAGCAGAGACCACAGGTATCCCCTGGCACTGCCACCAGCCCTCCCACCCGTGCAGCAGGTTAACAGGCCGGGTTCAATGGAGTGCAGGAGGGGCGGGGGCGGAGAGGCGGTGCTTGACGAGGGCAGAGACAGCATCGGCATCCACTGTGACCGCCACCCGCACTGGTGGTATACCACACCATGCTGTGGGGGTGTTCCACCTGGGTGGCGACAAGGGGGAGAGGGAGGATGATGGAGATCAAGCAATTAGGAACCATGCAGGTTAATGGCAGTGGGGAACACCATGTTGTGGGGCGATTTAACTGCACCAGGAGAAAAAAACACCAGAGGGGGAGAAAGAGTTAAGAGCTCTGAAGACGGGGAGGCATCATGAAAAAGAAAAAAATACAAAAATCACTAAGTTCGTGGGTGCTTGGTCTAGTGGTATGATTCTCGCTTCGGGTGCGAGAGGTCCCGAGTTCGATTCTCGGAGCACCCCCTGTTTTTCCTGCATTCTATACTTTGCCCTTAGCAGTCGCACTCTCCTGCTGCTACCAATTTCTTTTCCAACCACAGACATCACAGCAGCGTATTTCATCACATCACATCCACCCTTTGGGAAGGTACTCACACTTTGTTGGTGTTGTTTAGCAAAGTGAGTCCCTTGGCGATGCCGTCGAGCTGCACACGCACCACGCCCTCATGGAAGGTGAAGAGCGAATCGTCCATGGCTGCCACCATGGTGGTGGGGTCGTGCAGGTACACCGCTGCAGCATGGGGCACATGGTGGGGAAAAGAGAAGAGAGGAGTGGGTGAGAAGAAATAGGGAGGGAAGACAGGCGAGTTACTGATGCAACACCACGGCGGTGGGGTCGTGCAGTACGCCGCTGCACGGTGTCACACAGGGGGGAGAGACAGGGGGGGGAGGAGGTTCTGATGTGGGCATTCGCAGTGCAAGTGTTGCTGGGTCGTCCACAGTGGTCACCATGGCAGTGGGGTCGTGCAGACTCACTGCTGCCGCATGGGGCACAGGCGGGGAATCAGCGATGAGGGGATGAGGGATGAGGGGACGAGGGATGAGGGGTTATGCAGGTGCACTGCTGCACAGAGCACATTGGGGGGAGAGGAGTGGTGAGAGGCCAGAGGGTGTGACAGGGGAGTCATAAACGCAAGTCAGAGGCGGGTGGCATGACCATGGTGGGGCGGGTGGCATGACCATGGTGGGGCGGGTGGCATGACCATGGTGGGGTTCGGCAATGGACTAATGTGCATGGAGGGGGGAGC